TGGTTGAGTATCAGATTGTTCCATCTCGTTTCCCTTTGGGATTGCTGTAGGTGATCCAGAAGTCTGTTTTTGAAGCTTGTTTATGTGTCTTCTCATTTCCACGGTGCGGGGGGAGGTGCTTTTGGTGCCTGTGCAGCTCACCTTCTCTGTCCTAGGAGCTTGGGATGGTGGCAGGGGAGCTTCCTTCGGGGTGCTGGGACTGGCTCAGCTTCTCTCTCATTTTCTTTTTAATATTGAAGATTTTAATAAAAACATTGGCTGTCCAGGGCTGAATGAAAAAAAAAAGAAAGAAAGAAAGTTTGTCAAGTGAGCCTCCATCAGTGGGGAGCAGGTGCTGCCTGCCTGAGTTGTAGCTCCTGCCAGGACCACACTGAGAACCTCTGTAGATGGATGAGGCCCAGGCTGGGCTGTGAAAAGCCAGTCTAGAAGCAGTAGGGAGGATGGCCTGGGGAGGTGGCAGTAGGGAAGGGAAGCAGTTCTGGGAGCTCCTGTGGTAATACTGACTCAAGGCCCAAGGGTATGGACAGGGAGTGGAAGCCTAGAGGAAGGCTGGCACTCAGGCTGTGAGGCCCATCACAGCTTCAACCCAAGGCACAAGCTCCAGTGAGGAGGGTCCCTGGCTCTGGTCGGGCATCCAAGTTGCTTGGGTGAAGTTGTGGCCAGTCAGGAAAACAGGATCCATTTCCACAGTCAGAGCTCATGAGAGTCATCATTTGTCCTGAGCTTCACATTCCTGTGAGGTTTCCTGGTATCTTGAACTCCAGGGAATCACCAATAACATGAACTCTGCTTTGGGTGTGGTACAATTTGATCCAGGAGAAATAGACAAGAAGATTCCCAAGGTCAGAGTCCTGCAGACATTTGAGAGAGGAAGGAGATAGAAGGGGTGGCAAGACAGCTGAAGTTGTGGTCAGCAAGACCTGGAGAGGCCTGAAGAGAGTAGTGTCAAAGAAATGTTTGCCAAGAGGATGTTCCTGGAAGTAGGCTGAGTGTCGAGTCCTGTGTGAGGAGAGTGGTTCCTTGGAGAAGCAAACAAGGACTTAGGGGAAGGTGACAGGGCTTGTGAGCCATTGGTGGTGATGAAAACAAGAGAGATAAGGCAGACTGAGCTTGGATGTAGAGATGGGGCTGCAGGAATTGGGGGTATAGGAGATGGGAGAATCTGAGCACATCCCTGAGCTTGTGCTGCCCTCTGCAAAGCCTGGCAGAGTCCTAGTCTCCCTGTGAGTTGCCTGGCATTGCCATGCTCATCTGTCCTAGCATGAAAGGCTCACGAAAGTGAGTGTGGTTCTGTGTTTGCATCTTGGTTTTATGCTAGGAAATCTGAGAGAATAAAAGGTACCGAGATATTCTCAACCTGCCCATCCTGCAACAAGGAAGGCTGGACTTACGTTGTCTTTTTTTTAAGAGAAAGACCTCTAAGACTATAGAATTCTACAGTTCAAACACTTGTTTTCTTTTATATTTATAGTAGTGTTAAAATTTAACATACCCAGTCTTCTTCCTTGTCAAGGAGTTTTTGGCTATTTCTGAAATATAAATCATATTTGGAAAGTTAATCATCTTGGGCATGGACTGAACTTCTGGAAAGTGTGGGGCACCCTCTTCTGTTATTGGATAGGCTGTCAGTATTACAGGTGCCCTTTGGAAGATCTATATAACTTATATTTGTCACCTTCCCATTTCTATAATGAAATATTTGAAGCAGTTGACTCATAAAGAGAAAAGACTCATGGTTCTGGAAGGTCCAGTCCAAGTTCAAGTGGCCCCATCCTTTGTCACAAGGATGACACATCATAGCAGGAGTGTGTGGAGAGAAATCCACTCATATCATGACAAGAGAGCAAAAAAAAAGAAGGAGAAATAAACAGGCCAACGTTCCACAATCTCCTTCAAGGACATGCCCCCAGTGATCTAAAGACCTCCCTTAAGGTCCCACCTCCTAATGGTTAGGAGACTTCAAATAGAGCTGCCATGGGGACCAGACCTTTAACACAAAGACTGCTGTAGGACATTAGGCATTCTAATTTCAGCACCTGCTATGAAAACAAATTTAACTGGAAATCTATACTTGTCATGTCTTACCCTGTATCAAATATTGTACTTTGGATCGATGACTTTCATTCAGGTAGGGTAAAGCAAATATTTCCAATTTGAAATACTTAAGATGACACTGATAATAGATAAAGCATAGTTATAGTTAAGTAGCCTATTTTCCAATGGATAATTATCCAGGTCATTACATATATCAGTAGTTTGCTGTTTTATAGTGCTGAGTATTATTCGAGTCATGTTTCATGGTATGGGTGTGGACGTACCACAGGGAAGACTAGATTGAGGATTTTTTGCATTGGCCTGTAAATGTCCAATTGCTCTACCAATATTGATTGAAAGGTACAAAAATCAGTGGAGCATGTTTGTGAGGGGCCTAGCTCTGGTTTTTTAATTCTACACCATTGCTCTATGTTATGTGTTCAGCCCTTCATCAACACTAACTATTACTCTAGCTATAGAATAGGCCTTAACATGGGATGGATTGATTCCTCTCTATTCTTTCTCAAGGTTGTTTTAGCTATTCTAGCGTCTATGTCTTTACATATTAATTTTATCATAAGCTTGTCTTTATCTGCCAAAAATCCTTACAAAGTTTTGGTAGGATTTACATTAAACATTAATCAATTTGGGGAGAATTGATATCTTTACTATGTTGGCTCTTCTAATTCATGAACATAGTATGTGTGAATGTTTATTTATTGGAACCATTTTAGAGTTTTTAAGTCAGCATTTTGTAATATCAGCATATAGATCCTGCATGTGGTTAGCTGAATTTATATCCCCATATTTTCTTCAGAATGATTCTAAATTGTATTGCTTTTAAATTTTGATTTCATTAATAGTATACAATAGGTGACAGAAAAATGAATGCAATCTCTCCTAGAAAACATATAATAAACAGTTCCTAAATTAGTGCATGCAGATTAGAATGCATAATAAAGTTGTGTAATGAACAGTTACTAAAAAGAATAGTACAATATGCTGTAATACTAGTATTAAATGCTAGTAGTATTAAATGATAGCAAATGTGAAATAGTTACTTATCAACTATCTTGGAAATGTCTAAGTCTAGTACAAGTCTAGTTCTGATTTCTAATTTTAGTTCACGATGTATGGTTTTTATATCATGTCATTTTGTGAGTATGGCCGAAGTTATTTGAGTTGGGTGGGTAGCAAAAAAATGTCGCTAGGTGTTTCAGTGTTTTGCACAGGTGGAATTAAATGGGATTCAGAAATTCAAAGCCCAAAAGGTAAGCAAAAGAAGGGACTAAGAAGAGTGATCCTGTTCATCTCCAGTCCACGTCAGCCTGGGAAACTTGGGTTGTCACAGGGGAGCAGCACATGATAGTCTAAGAGGCACACAAAAGTCATCAGATGTGTTTATTTTGTGGCAGTGAATCTTTTTTTTTTTTTTTTAGAAAAACTGCATTATCGTGGTAACCGTGATTCATTTTCTTCCTCCTGCCTTTTCCCAGATAGTCAACAGTTTGACATTCATTTTTATTTACTTTTACCCTGCTTTACTGGAGAAAGAGTTTTAAAAAAATCACATAAAAACATTCATGAGAGAGAAATTTTAATGAGGGAAAGCCAAGTTGAGAAACGGGAAAATAGGATGAGGACCAGGGCTGAGATTTGGGGGTAGCTGTCAGGCTGAGGAGTTTTGTTTGTTTGTCCTGTTGAACTGGGTAAAAAATTTGACTTGGATGAATTGTTTTTAACCCTTGCACAAAATAGACATAAAGCCAGTGTCTAATTATCATGCCCGCTCAGTATCTGTCATCTTTTCATTATACCATGATAATGGCACATATTTATGGGGGCGGTGTGATGTTTCCATCCATGTATATATTGTAGAGCAAGCAAATCAGGATACTCCTGCTCCATCATCTCAAACACCTATCCTTTCTTTGTGGTCAGAACATTCAGAATCCTCTCTCCCAAGCTACTTGGAAATACACAACTCAGTATTGCCACTCTTGCACCCGGCCCCAGGGTGCTGGCTTAGGGGCAGGTTTGTCCTGGAGAGGTAGTCAGTGACGGGAATCTGAGCCTGCTTTAGGAGGCCTCCCCTGCTGCCTGCTGCAGCTGGTGGTCCAGGAGCAGCAACACGTGGAGGCCCAGCACCCAGAGGCCCACAGCACAGCAGTGTGTGCTCCAGCACAGGCCTTAGTGAGCTTGAAGTTCAGGCTCAGGGTCATTCTTGATAACAACAGGGCCACCTACCATTGTAAGTACTTTTGTAAATGGAATGTTTTTGTAATATTTAGTTTTAATGTTTAAAAAATGTAAAGGGCCTTTTAAGAAATACAACTTAGTTAGGGCTCGTTTGGTTTTGAAGTGAAATGAATGACCTGAAAGCCATAGGAAGATAGACCTTCCCTGTCTTGATTTATCCTTGCCCGTTGAGAGATCTTCAGTTCAGTTTGGTTTTGAGATAAGATACTTGTGCTGTTTCAGAGCACTTCCAGCACAATTGTTTCTTCTGATGATTAATTGTCCTATAGTTATTGGAAGTAGTTAAGAAATCCATAGGCATCTACACATTTGTAAACCTGTAAAGAGAGATGTGCCATTACAGCACGCTGCTTCATATATGTGCTGTATACATACAGCTGATGTTTCCCTGGGGTGTTCAGAACCTCAGCTTTATCAGTGATAGTGGGTTCTGTCTTTTAATCTACGCAGTAGAGTTAGAGATCCATTTGCCTGTCCACTTCTGTGTTGCTGTAGCCTGCTCAGGAGTCTGCTGTTGTATGTTTAATTCCTATAAAGCCAACTGAAAGACAATGTGCACAATTGACTGCATTCAAAGTGGCTGCAGGCCAGACCTATTGCAACAGCTGACGGGCTCCCGTGAGCTCCAGGAGCTATTTCTGGTAGATTAGCTGGTATCACAGCTCTGGAGTTCAGGCCATAAAAGGCTGGTCATATCTGGAGTTGCCACATTTGCCTCTGACCCGGCCTGGGCTGAAGCTCCTCAGGTTTCAGTGGATTTACCCAGGAATGGACGGCCCTCCCAGCCCCAGACTGAGGAACCCCAGCCTCGAGGACTCCGGAGGACTCACGGCTTCAACGAGAAGACTCTTTTTATTATTCTCTTGGCATTCTTTATTCAGAGGAACTTTTGGGATGTAGCCTTTACCTGTTTCCCAAATCTGGCCTCTTGGAAAGCACCATTCTATATTTATCCAATTCTGAATCATCCCTTTCAGTAGATGCAGTTGCTCCTGCTTGCATTGTGATGTTGGATTTTGTGCAGCATTACTTGGGCTAACTTTGGATATTTTACTTTTTGTTTAAAATTTGAAAGTAGTATTCATTGAGAAGAGACTCTACTAAAATACTCAAGGACTTCCAAAGCTGGATTAGAGGATATAGTCTGTTTTATTTTTTAATTAGAAAAATAAGGAATTGTCGTGTGGTTTCCCTTCCCCCTTTCACTTAGAGGAACAAGGATTATACAGAAATTTGAAGTAAGTGAAAACTATTCCTATAAATCTAAATGCAATTTTTTTAAGTGCCACCTGCCTGAGCATGCTTCCTAGGAATCTGTTTACTTCAAGCACTGGAATGTTCCTGCCGGTACTGTATTTGCTAGTCACTGCCATTACTTCTAGAGACACCCTTGGGCATATTTTGGAGGTAAAGAAAGATTGGATTTTTTTTTTCCTTAAAAACAAAAGGACTTACTTTACCATACACAGAGGTCTGTTGCTAACAGTTTGATTAGAATAACTTAGTAAGTACATTCTAAATTTTATCACTTGAATTCTTGGGATTGAAGTATATTCACAATACAATGCATTTTAATCATTTCACAAGTATGGGGGTGGAGTCCAAAGGGTAAGCTTAGGTAATTCCTTTCATTATTTATTACCAATTATTGATTGCTTGTTTGTTTGTGGTGCTGGGTATGGACCAGAGCTGGAGGTGTGTTAGGCATGTCCTCTACTGCTGAGCTCCACCCCGCCCTCCTTCCTTTATGTGGAAATGAAAATCACTCGTGATCTTTTTTGTGTACCTGTATTTTGATGATTCTTTGCCTTGCTGCTCTGATTCCTTAGGCTTGATTTATAGAACTTCTTTGTTCTTGAATTTTAAAGAAAAATCTAGGTTCTAGGTTTTGAATTGTAATTTGTCTTAAAATTCTCCAAGAAAAAAGTTCAGTGTCAGCCTTCTTATTCCCTAGGGATAGCTGTGATCTCTTCGTAATTTAGCTTGGCAATTTGGTGTTGAAAAATAGCATTGAGCTCTAGGACATTTAAGGTTTATTTGACATAATTCTTTTTGTTCATACCATATCAGATGAACAAGTATGGGTAGTAATTATTTTTATCACACAGAAAAACAGCATATTTATAGAGAAGGACATCATCGGTGAATACTGCAGCTCTGCAGTGGAAGTTGTACTGAAACCCTAGGGGGCATGAGGAAATGCTAGGGGTGGGGTGTAGATTCCCCAGTATCTGCTGCTGGACTTTGGAAGGATGCAATTTGCATGCTATATGTAAATATGTACAGGATTACTCTGGCCAAAATGCTGACGTTACCCACACTGAAGAAAATTGAAGGGTATACATTATACTCTTGACCTCCATAGAGAAGGGAATGCTAGGCACACTGGGGCTGCTCATCCCTGAGCCAGGTGGGCTCTGGAGGAGCCATGAGGTTGAATGTCCTGCAGGGAATTAATCCTCCTTGTCACTGCTGAAGATGCATGGAGGAGATGCAGGTGAGCGGAGAGCAAGACAGTGCTGGTTAGCCAACCCTCAGGGAAAACTTTTTTGAGATTATTAAGCTGTTACTGAGAGCATTATCTTCAAAGTAAATTTTAGTTAAAGTACCCAACTCACGGGGGACATCCTTCTTTCATCCAACACTTCCTTATCTTTGCTTGTACTTTTTGAGACTGTTTCTTGCTAGCCAGACGTCTGGAAGACTTTGAATCTCAGTCCAAAATGAACATCTTTAGCCACTTCTGGGGACTTTAATAGTCTGCAATGAGAACTTGTTTGCAAGGGGCAAGGCCTTTGGAAAATTTCACCAGGATGCCCAGTGAGCTACAGCCTGCAAGGGCTGTGGGTCACATGCAGGCTTGGGGGAGGTGTTGATAAGAAGTCATCTCGCCTCCCAGAACCCTTAGGACATTCATTGCAGCTTTATATTTTCTATGTTATATCATGATCTCTTGAGTGTCTCTCTGTGACCAGGAGTATCCTGCGCTCTGGAGCTTTCTGGCAGTTCCAGCTTGCTTGTTTGCAATTGAATCAAGAGCCTTGACACCCTTGACTCCTCTCTGCAGGTCTCCAGGCCGCTGTGTCTGTCTCTGACACGATGCCCCAGCCGCACCACCTCTTGCCAAGCTTTGGCATCTCTCACTTGAGTTATTGCTTTGCCCTTAATGTTGTGCCCAGATTCTCCTGTGTGCAGTCTGTCTTTAGAACGGTCTTCCTAAACAAAGATGTGGTCATGTCGCTCCTCAAATACTTGTCTCCTAAGTCCCCACTGCTTCCATGCCAAAACCCCAACTGCTTAGCTTCATCTGCAGGGTCTGTCACGACACTGTGCTTTGCTGGCAGCCCTCCCTGAAGTCCTCTGCCCTCCCTTCCCTGCCAGGGAAGTGCTAGCTCTTGAGGTTCTCCCGGAAGTTTCATCTGCCTCTGGCCCCTGGGCCTTGACCCCAGCCTGAACTGGGGACCCTTGGCATAGCATGTGGATTGTCCCTTGCTTTGTAGGGTGTGCCCAGTGAGGCATCTGGATCTCAGCCCTCTTGCCATCCTACCCAATGGGAACTCCACAAATCTGAGTTAATTGAACTGAATCAGATTGTAATATAATGATGTCTGGGTTCTTTAGACCGAACTTTGGCTGTTTTCCCTCACATACTTTCCCATATTGTGCAGGGTTCACTGGAGAGGCAAGTGGCTGTATTCTGTGCTCTATGTTCTTTTTCTCATACCTAATAACACAAGCAGAAAGACTTGGCATACTGAAACAAGTCTGTCGGGCTTTCTGCACGCAGGTTTTTGCCAGCACAGGAAATTGAGGTGTGTTCGGTGAAGTCAGCCCCTTCATCACTGGAGCTTTCCCTGAGCTGAAGAGACTTGCCTGGGTGCATGACCCGGGGAGTCTCGAGTGCCCGGTTTCATCTCTGGTAACACCTCTCAGGAGAGCTTGCATGGCTGACCTTGGGACAGCAGTACCTTGATGTGGTTCAGAAAGGCCTCTGTCCCTCGGGGAGCCTCTCCATTGAGGGAGGGTTTGAAAGAGGCACATACTTTGTCACATTGCTTGCTTATTCTCTTTTGAAAGCTGATCTATTAATTCCCCACAAGTTCATAACCTGTGTCTAACAAACAGGTTTTTGTGTAAAGACAGTAAGAGACATAGTTTGGATATTTGCTTTGAGCTCCTTTATTTACCCTTGTCAGCCCAGGATTTGTTCATTTCAGCACATATTTCTTGCACTTCACCTGCACAAAGCTCTGGGTTGAATGCTGTGGAATAAAGCAAGCTCCTTTGTCCTGGGTGACTTCACTGTGGAGGGGCACCCTGGACACCATGAAGCACTCACATCTCTCAGGCTGGAGGTGGCACACAGTAATTATGTGCTCAACGTCATGACCGCATGCGGGACTCCATGCCATGCCATTAAGTTTGCCCAGGCTGCACTCAAACTGTGACCTGATCCCCTTGCCTCAGCCACTCAAGTAGCTGGGATTGCAGGCATCACCTTGATGCTTGGCTTTTGGGGCCCTTATCTCTGCGTTACATCATGTAATTTCCATAAAGGTCCTGAGAAATGTTAGTATCACTATGCCTGAGTGCTGAGGGAACAAAATTGAAGCTCAGAGAAGCTTACACCAGGGCATGTACCATGGAATCAGGGAGAGTTGGATTTGAACCCAGATCTCTGACTTTACTGTCCATTTTCATAACCGTTGCAACTCAAGTTGTAAAAGCAATCGCCAGCTGTCTTAGTCCATTTTCTGAGACCAGATAATTTATAACTGATCTCTTACAGTTCTGCAGGCTGGGAAGCCCAGCACTGAGGGGCTGCACCAGGTGAGGGCCTCCTTGCTGTTGAGAGCTGGGTGAGTCCCCAAGGTGACACAGGTACTCACCTGGAAAGACCGACCAGTGTGCTGGAGGCAGCATGCTCACCACAAACCACTCCCTTGAGAGCCCCCTAATCTGTTCACCCTAAATAGGTTGACCCATTGAGGAGGGTGGAGCCCTCATGACCGAATCCCTCCCCAAGACGCCCTCTAAATGCCACCGATAACACGTGACTGCGGACTGAGTTTCCAGCACATGAAACCTGGGGGGGACACACAAACTGTATCACCTGCCACCTTGACTGCGCGGCTTCCAACTCGCCGGTCTGGTGCAGGGCTGAGATTCCCTAAGCAAATCCAGGTGCTGGGGCTGGGGGAGAGCCCGGTGGGAGAGAGCCTGCCCGTGGGTGGTTTCCATCTCCGCACCGCAAACTTCGACAGCAGCAGCGCAAGATTCAGATGCTTCCGACTCCGGGTCTGATGACCATCTCTGAGCAGCACTGCCGTCAGCCCCTTCTGGCAGAACCATGAGCATGGAAGCAAGCGGCCGGGCTGCCGGGGGAGGAGGTGGGCTCCCGGGCCCACCTGTTTCTCTATGGACTGTGTGCGCCTGGCCCTTTCCACTCTGCCTACAGGTTCATCCCGGCTTCTCTGATCTCAGCTTCAGCTTGCTCCTGGCTCCTTCTCCCCGTGTTGAAAACATGCTCAAGTCTCCTCCATCCTAAACAAAGCTCCCCTGACCTCCAGCCCCACTTCTCCCCTCCCGCCCAGTTAACCCCAGCACCCACAGGCGCTGTCCCTCCTCCCAGACCTTCCGCTGTCCCGGATGTGCTGAGCTTTCTGCACTTCCTCTCGCAGCCCCCGCTCCTCCGCAGGACCCTCTGCGGCCTGGGGGTAGAGGGCGTCCTGGCCTCGGCACTCTGCCCAGGAGCTGTGTGCCCGAGTTCTTCAGTGGGCTTCATTTTAATCTGTTTTCGGTCTGTTTTGTGCCTTCATTTTATTTTATTTAAACACTCATTGAGCGTACATGGGATTAGCGGGATTCAGTGTAGGATTTCCGTGCGTGCAAACACTGTTGCAGGTCCGACCCAGCCACCCTTTTTCTGCCCTTTCAATCTGTAGTATCCACTAGCCTAGTTTCATGGCCTCCTTTCTAAAATCATTTTCTGTCTCTTTGCTTGCTCAACTGTCCCTTGCTCACTTTAGATAAAAAGTCTTCTTCCCTTTATAAGGTGATTACCTGACCTGTTCATTTTAGGTAAAATTGGGTTTTATAGCTTATTTTCTCTTTGTAATTAAAAGTTAACTTCTAAATAGCTGCATAAAGGTTTATATCCTATATATCCAGTGTTGATAGAATTATGCGATTAAAAAAAGGACAATTGGGCCTGGGATTTAGCTCAATGGTGTCGCCG